ATTTCGGCAAGGAAATCTTTAGCCTTAGTAATCCCTTCGGATTCTATGCCCCTGAAGGCTTCCGGAACGCCGCGCTTAATGATCATAAGACTCATGCGATTTGAACGCTCCCACTTCTCATGCTCCTTCTTTGCATCAGGAGTGCTATCCGCATTGAGAGGTTGGGGTTGTTCAGTTCTTAATGCATAGTCAAGATCCATGCAGCCAAGAACAATTAATATGTTCTCTTTCCAAACCTTGAAGTTTGTCCCATTTAGCATGGGAATTGAGTTGATGTTAGCAGAAATTGTTGCAGCAGATGCATTAGCTGAAATAAAACAAAAATGCTCACATCAATAACCATAATCAATAAAATTCAAATAATGACAATCCCCATCCAAGATACCGGCACAACATTAATATCAAGTCTTTGGACAGTAATATTAACTTGTAAGTGATACCTTGTTGCAATGATCAAACATTGACAATAACTCATGTCAAATAATGAAACTATCTTTGGATCGATTCATTATTCACATGTAAACCTTATAATTGTCACACGCTTATCATCGCAGATGTGTATACAGTCTAAATAAATATTAACCTTCCTTTGGGCCGATTAAATATTTACACGAAAGCATACACACAAACATCTCACATTCCTCATGAACAATCTACACAAGAGAGGTTACTTTGGCAACTTCTTGTTTCAATTAATCAATTGGAGTGAGAGACAACCTTAATACCTTAGTGTCATATTATTTGAATTAAATAATTGATTAAAAACCAAATTAGATTTAAATTAAAAAATTTTAATTTAAATCAACTGAATTTCTAAAAACTTAATTGGGGTCTCACAGCTTAATTAGGGCCCATAACTTAATTGAATAAATTAAGTATACCAAAGTGGACCCATGAAAAGCCGAGGCTTAACCATAATGAACACGAAGTTCCCTTAACTTCGAACGCGAGGTTCAACTGTATTGAGTACGAGACTCACTTAAGCACGAACGCGAGGTTCGTCTGAAAATGAACGAACGCGAGGTTCGTTTGATAAAAGAACGCGAGGTTCAACTTGGGAACGAACGCGAGGTTCGTTTAAAAATGAACACGAGGTTCGTCTGAAGTTCGAACGCGAAGTTCGTCTGAAGTACGAACGCGAGGTTCGTCTGAAGTTCGAACGCGAGGCTCGACTGAAGCACGAACGCGAGGTTCGTCTGAAGTACGAACGCGAGGTTCGTCTGAAGTTCGAACGCGAGGTTCGTCTGAAGTACGAACGCGAGGTTCGTCTGAAGTACGAACGCGAGGTTCGTCTGAAGTACGAACGCGAGGTTCGTCTGAAGTACGAACGCGAGGTTCGTCTAAAATTGAGCTTGACGCTCACCTGAGTTGAACGCGAGGTTCACCTTAGAACGAACGCGAAGTTCGTTGAGCGCGAGGCTCACTTGATAACGAACGCGAAGTTCGTTTGAACGCGAAGTTCGGTTAAAATTGAACGAACGCGAGGTTCGTTTGAAGCTTTCAGCTTCGCTAAAATTTGAGGTAACTACCTCCTTAATGTTCGCCACGTTTCACGCACGAACCCTTTGGGTTTCAAATTAAAACCGCCGCCGACAAACCCAAAAAAATCTTTGATTTTTATTTTCAAAACAGATCCAGAATTGGAAAAAATTGAAGAAAAAATCAAAGAAAAACCCAAAAAATTCCAAAAAGTTACTGTTCACCGGTAATTTTCAGTTACGGTTCATCCGAAAAAATTTCGTTACTGTTCATCCGAACAAAAAAAATTTGCTGTTCATCCGAAAATTTTCGTTACTGTTCATCCGAACAAAAAATTGAATCTTTAACCAGAGATTTAAGATCAAAAAACCCAATAAAACTTAAATCCCTAAGAATTAATCAAGGTGGCTCTGATACCACTTGTTAGATCTACATCATAAAACTTGAGATCTAAAACCATATAGCCATGATTAATTCAAAGAGATTAACAAGAGTCTAAAAGAGCGGAAACTTATACCTGAATCCATAGAAGAAATCTTGATTTGGGTTTCAATGATCTTCTAACCTTAGGGTTTTCTCCAAATCCGAATTTCTCTCTTAGATGGGGGTGAAGAGAATTAGAGAATGTAACCCTAGGTTAGGGACCATAACCCCTTATTTATAGATGTTGTACTTTTGTAATTTAGCCCCTCAATAAATCACAATTACAACCTGGTATTTGCACATATAACCCCATGATTATATTTAAATACCCATTAACCCAACTTAATTGATCACTTTAGTGGGTTATCCTGAAAGATAGCAATACACATTGATTAATCATATGTGCCCACAAATAGATTTATTAGATTAAATCCAACATATTTTGCCTTTATATTTATGCAAGTAAACTCTATAAGGTGTGCAAGGAGCCCATGTGATCTGGGGACGCAACGGTAATACTGTCAACACCCCGAGGTCCCTGGTTTGATTCTGTATGTCTAATCTGGAGTGTGAGAATGGAAGGTGCGACCCACCCACCCGGCTTTACTTAGTTGGGAATGAGATCGAACTCGGGCTTCCATCTTGATTCCTCGTACCTTGCCAAGGTTTCCATCATTTAAAAAAATCTATATAAATTAATTTAAAAATATGAATAGGTGACAAGTGAGACAACTTAACATATATTCGGTATATTTGCGCAAAAATTTAATTCCTGATAAGCACACAGTAGTTCGAGATATTTACATACTTTTATTTACATACATGTTAACAAAATTGCACTTTGGACTCATTTGGTGTTTTAGAAACAGGCTACCAGATAATCACGAACACATAAGTAGTGAAGGTAATAAGGAGCAATAAACATATCGTAGGCATAAGCAGTACGTAGAAAAATTCCTTGGGGACCCCAAATCATTGGACCCAAGGGAGGACAGGTGAGATGTCAACCCCTGAGTGCATGATCTACTACTGTTCATGAAAAGTAGATCATGCACCCAGGGGTTGACACCTCACATGTCCCCCCTTGGGTCCCATGATTTGAGGTCCCCGTAGAACAACTCCAGTTCGTAACTAAACAAATACAGTATAATAGTTAAAAATTAATTACATGCATCCTAATGTTTAAGTAGCTCAAAAGGGCAACATCACTAATGCACGTAAAAGTTGAGAGAAAGTGAAGAGCATGTAATTAATACCCTTATTTATAGATGTTTTAAAACTAACACTTAATTACCTCGTAAGCCTACTCATATTTCTGCAAGAGGGTTTTCCATCCACATTACCTTCTGTTCTGTAGTTACTTTTGAGAAATTTACATTTTGGAAGAATGTTCAATCAAAAAGTAGCACGCTTATATATACTCTCATTTATTTTGACAGAACTTAAATACCCTAAATTTGTTACAATTAGCACTTAAAATACACTAAAGTTCTAAAATGCCCTAAAGTTTTTTAAAACTTACACATAAAAACCTTCAGTTATGTAAGTTTGAGGGTATTTAAGTGTTAGTTTTAAAAATTTTAGCGTATATAAATGCTACCGAAAATAAATGAGGATAAATGGAACAATGAAGTATTTAAGTGCTATTTTGATGGGTTAATTTCATAAAACCCCCTTGAGCACTCGTAATTCTTCTTGTATTTATAAACTGCAGTAATAAATGTCATTCATGGAAGGTATGGTGCTAGTTTACACTCAATTGAGTCGCAATCATTAACAAAGCAACAAATTTAAAGATTGGTTAGGAAATAAGTATGTTGGCTCTAGCAATTTTTTTTTAAATTTCTCATGAAAAAAAGGCTTTTGTCCGTTTTAATAAAAGAATATTTTTTTGGGGAATGGAAAGGAATTTTCCATCCTTTTTTCGTAACGTGTTTGTCATACGATGCATCAGAACTGACAATGCTGATTTGACCGACGAAGTGAGAAATCTTCTGGTGAGAGCTAGCGGAAAAGGTTAAAGGAGTTCGTAAGTCCAATCAGAGGGATTTAGTCGAACAAAACAAGTTCTGGGGTCTGGTGCAGCACCTCAAAAGTTCATGTCGCGCGCCTATGCGGAAGCGTGCTCCCTCACCAAACAAGTCGTACGCACGGGAGAAGAATAACTAATCACACACGAGCACAATCCAAAACTGAAATACGACAGATCGATCACGAACACGGAGATATACGTGGTTCGGCAATTTGCCTACGTCCACGGGGAGAGGATGGGGAGATTCCACTAAATCAAGAAGAGTACAAAGGGTTACAATCTGATGGGGAGATTCCACTAAATCAAGAAGAGTACAAAGGGTTACAATCTCACAAAACTCACAAACTAACCTTCAACCAAAGCTCTCAACTTGCTCACAATATCTCCCTCTCACAATGCTCAAAAAGTCTCTCTAATATCTGATTATAACTCTCCTCTTTTTTATAATCCTAATATCTTCTAAGGCGTTCTATATATATAAAAAACCTAAAACCAAAACAGACTAGGAATTCTAAAACAAAAAATAAAACAAATTAGGAATCATAATAACATGTTATCAAAACAGATTAAAAATCATGTTACGAAAATAGATTAGAATCCTAATAATCTGTTACCAAAACAGATGCGGAAACTGCTATTGAACAGTTTAAGGCTATTTTTTTTTAAAGTTGATGCGTGCGATGTGAGATCCCCCCAACCCCCACCCCCGGCCATTAGTCACCCCGTTTGTCTTCCGAGTTTAAACTTTGAAAA